TGATCGCGAGAATGAAGATCTTATCATTGCAAAGCAGTTTCTGCACTCTCTCTGCTTTCACCAATGCAAACACGATGATGTAAATACAGTAAGAGCTTCGTTGTGCAGTAACGTGCGTCATTGATTTCATAACGAGTTTGGCAAGTGTCCAGATAAACTCGCGCTGTGTGGAAAGATTGTTCTTTGATCGCTTTCTGTATATAATTTGTTCACAATTTAAATACGATTATTTTCATCCTACTAAAAGAAACGATGTGAAGCTGATATTTTAGTCACTGGCTTGACTTACTGATGCATAAACAGTATTGAACGATTTTGAGAGAAAGATTACCTGTCTGAACTTGAACAATTACACATCAGAAAGTGTTGCTTGGTAGCTCGATCCGAGGCCAGCTCTGTATTGGCCCAAGTTGAGGAAACAGTCGGTGAAATGTTTGAAAATGTCCAGAGAAAATAAAATTAACCCATTGTTTCTTCAGAGGCTCAGATGAAGGAACTAAAAAATACTTTTGTGTTCATGTGTACATCCACACTGAGCAACTGCCATGCTTCGGCTGCCCAGTTCCGCCTGGCATTGAGGGCTGGCATTATGCAAATATTTGGAGGCGTACATATTAATGATCCCGACTATTGCGTCACAGTCGGTATTGTGTGGAGAACCGACCGTTTTTCAGGGGTGTTTTTCATAAACGTGAATTAAATGAGAACGCGAAAACAGTCCAGTTTGAGATTCACTCTATGTCATGTCCATGCACTGAACTCTTGTTATTTGACTATACCAAGGTAAATTCAAGTTTGAATTATAGGTCACCTTTAAACAACTGAAAGTCAATATAAGTCTACGGTGCGATAACTATTTTTTGAGGAAGTCATATGCAAATGTATTTGCCTGTGACACATCACTTTTGGAGCTTGGTTAAATAAATGCTCCAGGATCCAGGAAAATTAGATTTTTCTTGTCATGGCCCCTTTAAAGAGTGCAACAAGGGTCATGCAAATCCAACAGCTAGTTAGTAAGAATTTTGGTGTCCTTTTGGGAAATATCCTTTTAACACATTACCTCATGCTTAGTGAATCTTGAAGGTTGACATTTGCAAACAAATATTTACGATTGAAAGCTTACACCATCTGCTATGAACCCTCTACATAAACATATCAATCCTGGCCATGTTTTTCCTTCAATAAAGAGCTCAGGACATAATCCCAGCCGTTAGACCTCCGTCCCACACAATATTGGTTTCACATTTTTATCATCAGCTCACTGACCAACTCCCTACAGGAGCAGAATGGGGATGTGGTGAAATCTTAGAGCCTTTGCAACGGATGAAAACTAGTTCTTTATCCAAACAAGCCTAGAATCTAGTATGAAAAAATATCACCCAAGTCAACTGAGAGAGAATAAGGACTACGAAACCTGCAGGATCATCCCAAAACATAGTTCTGATCAATATGAACAGATTGCTTTAATAAACATATGGCAACTAGCGGATTAAGTTTTTAAAGAACTATTTGTTCATCTCAGTAATTGCAATTTCCTGTCATCACCTACTGGAAACACTTTCCAACCTCACAGAAACCTCAAAGTTCCCACACCCACTTATAAACCTATTCTACAGAGCCTCTTGGGTAATATATCTGTTATGTCTGTTTTCATGGCCAAGATTAAGACCCATTTCTGTCAGGTTAGCAGCTTCTAACAGGAAAGATCAGGACTTTGCTGAGCTCAAAGAGGAGAATGTTTGGGGAGCTCTTTATGTTTTTAACAATGGAGAGAAACTTAATAGAGTAAGTTTACACGGCCAGACTCTTTCAAGCAAGAGACGCATGTAATAATACACCTCAGGGTTCGGAAGCAAAATACAACTTTGCATCAAAAACATGAATCATTTGTTTAGTTTGATAGTTTACACGTAAGCTAGATTTAATGCACAACAAAAAAAAAAAACTTTTTAAAGAACTTTTTTCAAATTAAAAGCCATCGAATTATAGGCAAATAGCCTCACTGAAATAATCATATTAAAACAAACACAACCTTTACCATTTTTCTTTGTTACTGTACATTTAAATGCTGATTTAACTGAACATTAACATTATTATACACAGCTTCAGTTTTGTATATTTATTTATTTTCATCTTTTCATTTGCAAATATCGCCCCCTTTCAGAAAAAAGTGGTATTGCAAAGTGGTATTCCACATTCGATCTTTGGAAATGAAGGGAGTAGGGGGAGGCTGCAGACTTGGAGCCGGCAGATATACGCCCCTGGCAGTTTTACGCCCCGGCAGTTTTACGACCCTGTTGTTCCTGATGCGTCCAGTAGAGGGATTTACTGCGAAATAACATAATTAAATCGACGCTTAATAACCCGTCCATAGACTTGACAATTTTGTGTTTTTTGTTAATTTAAATATAAACGTTATAGTGTAGATCTGCACGGATTAAATTATCTGTTTAACAAAAAAACAAGGGGGGTAAACGGACATCAAAAGAGATTGAATTAGGTTACACAAATCAATGCAATATTACATTTTGTCAATATAAAAACATGTAAGGTTCTTTACAACAGACTCAATGATATTATTTGTTTGATAAACCTTTGAGTTTAAAGGTTCTGACATTTTCTTAAAGGAAGAAAAAAATGAACTTTATATCAGAGGAGAATATTCTAGAATCAGGATTACTTTGAATGGTTCTGTCTTTATGAAGATGAAACTTGCCCAGAAGACAAAGTAATAATACCGTATAATCAAGTTTAACATCGTTAGAATTAAAATCTGACAAAAATAGATTCTGTCATTTGTATGTTAAATAATCTGCTAAAGTTATTGTTTTTTAGCAATGATGCAACATTTATTATTTATAAACGATTAGCTCGATAGAGCTAGGGTAGGTAGATATCAATTCATTTATATATCAATGGATGGGTCTATAATGTATTTTGACAGGTTTCTGTTCTATCTGGCTTAAACTTAGCTAACCACGTGTAGGTTTAGCTTCCCCTATCTTCTCTACTCAATTTAAAATTAAAATTTTAATTTTCTTTTGTTGCCTGTCTTTAGCTTGGCCTCTTCTGGTAAGACTCTGTTTACTCCTTGCATTAAAACATACTCCACGTGGTTTATAGAGCAATATTACAGTAGATAATGGAAATATGTTAATTTTTTTTTACAGTCTATGGTGTGAACACACAAAAGACACATTTATAGGTATGTAAATCTCTCTCTCTCTCTCTCTCTCTCTCTCTCTCTCTCTCTAAGTAAAGAGTTAAACTGCACACTCACTCAAATACATTAAAACACATTAAAAACTTTCCCCATATGGTTTGAATGTAGATTCTGGTTTGAGTTGTTTCTTATAAATGAGATGATCTAATTATCTCATTTATATCTTAATATAAATTTTTTCTTAAAATAGCTTACTGATCTGGACTCAAATGTAGGGTATGTGCACTTAATGTGGGTTTTATCATACTCTGTCTTTACCAAGTTCTCTTTAACTTGGATCTCATAAAGGTGTGTTTGCTTTAGCTACTTAAAGAAATACACACACACACACACACACACACACACACACACACACACACACACACACACACACACAGGGACAGGACAAGGTCAAATTCACCATGGATGTCCTTTTTAAACTTTTTTAATGTTTCATTTTTAAATGTTTCATCAGTGAGCAGGAGCAGTTAAAGAAAAAAAAACAGTTAAAGAAGAGTGGCAAACCATAGGGGAGTCATTATAATTCATAAATGGTGTTAATAAATATTTTTTTGTGAACAACAATATTGTCTATATCTTCTAAATGGCCCATGGAATTTTAGAAAAGGGATAAATTGTGTTTGTCTTCATAAAATGCTGTGTAGGACACTGTTTTGTAGCTGTATGATGACCAATAGAATAGTACAGCAGATATTTCATTGAGGATCCATATTATTACACGGTACTGCATGTCTAATAGGCTAAATATAGTTAATATCTAAATGTGACTATATAAATTCACAAAAACATATTTCACTCAGTCTCCTGTATATAAAAACCTACGGTGAATTGGCCTATAACTGCAGTAGGTCATAGCATCACCTGTCATAACACATAGTTGATCCAACTATGCGTATTTTTAATTTTTCAATTCACAAAAACAAATAGTCTTCTGTAGGTTGAGTGAAGAGAGTGAAGCCCAACTGAATATCTACAGAAAATTTAATCCGTGGAGATCTACACTGTAACGTTTATATTTAAATTAACAAAAAACACAAAATTGTCAAGTCTATGGACGGGATATTAATGTGTAAGCGTCGATTTAATTATGTTATTTCGCAGTATATCCCTCTACTGGACGCATCAGGAACAACAGGGTCCTAAAACTGCCGGGGCGTAAAACTGCCAGGGGCGTATATCTGCCGGCTCCAGGTCTGCAGCCTCCCCATATAGAATGAAGGGAGGCAATCCACCATAAATGCCAACATGTTAGATAGATAGACAGACAGACAGACAGATAGATAGATAGATAGATAGATAGATAGATAGATAGATAGATAGATAGATAGATAGATAGATAGATAGATAGATAGATAGATAGATAGATAGATAGATAGATAGATAGATAGATAAAACAGTGGATGGGCCCCATTGACCTCAAGTCAATCAGTTTGGTTACTGACATTCTTCAAAATTGTGTTCAGCAGAGGAAAGACATTAATACAGGTTTGGAACGACTCACGGGTGAGTAGGCCAAATGATGACAGAATCGTCATTTTTGGGTGTACTATCTCTTTAAATCTGTCACCAAAGTCGTTTTTAAGTAAATGGCGCCATCTATTGTAAGGCAAAATACCCTCTGTCAGAGTTACAGTGTTGGATTTGGGGACTTTCCATACACATAATGACTTTTATAGCCTACTGTATATTACTGTATATATATACTACTGTATATTTTATAGTACAAACTGTATATTCAATTTTTCCCCATACTTGACACACACACACAGACACACACTTCTGTTATTGCTGTCTGTCTTGTTTATTTGGATAACAGGAAGATAACTATAGATGATATTGTTACAGGTTTGATGATGCATTTCCTTTGAGGTGTCAATATGTGTATCTGTAAAGAAAATATTGTTTCTGACTAACGATATACACTCAGATCTTATAGCTTATGTGTATGTTCTCACTTTCTCACGTTTCTTTAAAGACTTTAAATGGTGATTCACATTCTAGCATCTGATGTCATGTTGAATAGACCTCCGGGGCAGGAAGTGCAGCGTTTAACACACCCAGCTGATTCACTTTGCTCAGAAGTCAGGCCTGTCCTTCTCCAGTTTAGAGTAGTCCATGTTGACAGTGAAGAGCTGCGGGAGGTGAAACTTGGTTAATTTATATTATTATATATTAATACACTAACAAAATAGTACAGATTATTACCACCATGAGACTATTTGGAAGGGTACTATAGGCTAACAGGCTATAATAACTAAATATAGAAAGCTGCATAATCAGAAATGGGCAAAAACAAGTGGTCGACATAAATGTTCCTTTCACCTTGTACTGGTCATTTGGCCCAAGTTTATTCCATGGCTCTGGGTTGTTCTTGCGATCCCATCTGTTGACAGATTTCAGTCAGTTCTCCATATGTTTGACAAGGTACTGAATGAAAAGGTTACTCACGAGCAGTCAGGGTTCTTTAGAGCGAGGCGGCCCAGGTAAAGCATAGACATGGCCGCTCCACCACCGATGAAAATAAAGAGAGGAATCAACTTTAAAGAGAGAAAGAATTATAAATAGATGACAGAAAAATTACTAAACTGGTCAGCTGAACAACCAATAACCTGCCTATAGATGTCAACCCTGTTATCATCATATATATTAAACCCTGAAACGTCACTTGATGTAATAGAATATAATGGGGTGTAGGTCTGTTTCCTAGAATGACCCCTATAAGGCAGCTCACTAGGTTTTGAGACACTGACATGCTTCTCTGACTGAGGGAATTAGAACAAGGGTTTTTATATTGATTCTGATTTACATACATGTATATAAAAAATCCTGAACTGCAGCTTAGTTACTGTACAAGAAAATATGTAGAAAATGTTGCCCGATCAACCACATTAGAATTCCTTCACACAGGCTAATGTATGTTCTGTCCTAATATTTTATGCACCATGGGCTTTAAGTCTTGTAAGTCTCGATAGGAAGCTGTAATGCTAAATGAATAAAAAAGGCAAAGCTGATTTAACCTCAATGTCCTTGACAGCTGCTGAACAGCCATATATGACAGATAGCCTACCGCGACCTACAGCAGGCGTACGTGCTCAGACACTGCTGTTATATGGGGAATTCACGAGCACACGGTAGGGTATATAGACAGAAATACATTTGGGAAATGCCAATACCCTCTCCATCACAGAATGGACAGAAATTCTAATCAACGTGTGACGTGACATCCCCTATGCGATCTTTAAGTTTACTGGAACCTTATCAAACAGCCTAATTAAATGAAGTGCCACCATCCCTCGAGCAGAGGATGTATTAGCAAACGTAAAGCCTGAAATGATTCAGAGACATGGAGAATAAATGAATCCTCATCATTAACATGAGCATCATCAGTATCAATTTTGAAATACTTACAGCCGGGTGGCTTTTCAGTTGTTTCAGTACGGTATTCAGCATGTCAAACTCCAAAAATATTTCTATACAGCAGGATTTAAAAAGGCGTTCGTCGTACACTCAACTGTGTAGGAGAGTGAGCGGAGTGTGAAGGGATGCCTGATATAAATGCGCTGTGGAAGAGCTTGTGCAGTTGCTCGGAGTCTGTTCCGTTCTGGCGACAGCCGACAGAGGGCGCCCGCGGGTAACACATTACTCCATTGAGTCTCATTCACACCCCGTTCACACATAGCGATGCGTTCACACATTCACATGAGCGAGGTATTCGTATTCGTCCTTATAAAAAATCAAATAGGGTAGGCACTGTACTGTCGTTGTCAGACAAAATGATCGAGGTCTATTACATGCTGGTGAATAAAAGTAAATTATTTGGCTAAGAGCTCTAGCTGCAATAGCCTACATTAAGTTTCTTTGAATCCTCTATCATCTGAAATTCTACTAACTGATATTGTTTTAAAACACCAATGCCCAGTTTCACAGACAAGGCTTAAAGGAGTAGTTCACTTTTAAAAAAACGTTTGCTGATAATTTACTCACCCCCATCCATGTCATCCAAGATGTCCATGTCTTTCTTTCTTCAGTCGAAAAGAAATTAAGGTTTTTGATGAAAACATTCCAGGATTTTTCTCCATATAATGGACTTCCATGGGAACCAGACGGTTCAAGGTCCAAAAGACAGTTTCAGTGCAGCTTCAAAGGGCTTTAAACGATACCAGACGATGAATAAGGGTCTTATCTAGCGAAACGATCGGCCATTTCAAAAATAAATAGAAAAGTTGAAGTTTAAAAAGCACAAAAATGCTGTTCTTGCTCTGTTCTGTGATGCACGTTCGTGACTCTCCTGCTCGAACTCGTTCATCAAAATGAACGAATCTTTTTTCGAGTCATTTCGTTCGTTGAATGAACGAAATGACTCGAAAAAAGATTTGTTCATTTTGATGAACGAGTTCGAACAGGAGAGTCACGAACGTGTATCATTTGTGCTTTTTAAACTTCAACTTTTCTATTTATTTTTTGAAATGACCGATCGTTTCGCTAGATAAGACCCTTATTCATCGTCTGGTGTCGTTTAAAGCCCTTTGAAGCTGCACTGAAACTGTCTTTTGGACCTTGAAACGTCTGGTTCCCATGGAAGTCCATTATATGGAGAAAAATCCTGGAATGTTTTCATCAAAAACCTTAATTTCTTTTCGACTGAAGAAAGAAAGACATGGACATCTTGGATGACATGGGGTAAATTATCAGCAAAAGTTTTTTTTAAAGTGAACTAATCCTTTAAGCTCAGTCCCACACTAAAATGCATGTTTAAGCTGTTTGAACTGAAACTTTATTAAAATATGTCAGTGCCATTGTTTTGTCTCAAGATGCACACAGTAATGTTTTTTTTCCAAAGGCATGTTTATAAAAGCTACTTAAACCGAATTTCCTAATTTAAAGGGTTCACCCAAAAAATAAAATTCTTTCCATTTACTCACCCTCATGTCGTTCCAAACCCATAAGACTTTCGTTCATCTTCAGAACACAAATTAAGATATTTTTAATGAAATCTGAGAGCTGTCAAAGAGATCGTAAAACTATAATCCATATGAGTTGAGCGGTTTATTCCAAATTTTCTGAAGAGACACGATCACTTTATGTGATTGAATTTAGGCTTTTATTCACATAAACATTTCATCAACACACACATCCGTTGTGGTAATGGAAGCTCATGTTCGCTTGATGCGCGAGAACCAATGAGGTTCATTCTTGGGTTATGCAGCAAGTTTGAGCTTCCACAATAACCAATGAGGTTCATTCTCGTGTTACGCCGCACGTTTGAGCTTCCACAATAACCAATGAGGTTGATTCTCGTGTTACGCAGCATGTTCGAGCTTCCACAAGAATGAGGTTCATTCTCGTGTTACACAGGTTCAGTTGAGCTTCTGTTTATGTTTGCTGATCAATGTTTATATGTTGTAGCCACATTGAGATGTGCCTTAATTAGCTCAAATTATGCATAGGGAATTTTAATAATTAATCATGAATATGATTAATATATTGCATATTACAGTTAAATTATCGAAATTGAAAATAGATTGATTGTATATATGAATGGTAAATCATAACGAATTATAATTCCTCATTCATATATCAATGGTCTCATTACAGATCGATTATATGAGACAACTTTAAGGGAATCAATTTAGTTTATCAAACAATCGGTTTGTCCAGCAAACAGCCGTAAGGTTAACTAACCAACTTCTCAACAAGGTTGTCCCTTTTTATAAACTCCAAGAAATCTCAATGTTCCGGCCGTGAACATTAATTTTCAGGTGTTTATAAAATTTACGTTACTGATATAGTAACAACTTGTAAAGCTTTTGTAGCTATAGGACCGCATTTCATTGACTTCTAAAGTATGAGCATTCAAAAACAATCAAAAATATAATGGTTTTAATAAAATGAAACTACGGATACAGAATTCTACATTTGAACACGGGATACATGTATGTACAGTAAACAGTAAAACTAATGATACAGACGAACAACAAACAGGAGTGAGAGAGAGAGATTGCGAGAGCGCAAGATTGGGAGTGAGAGAGAGAGAGAGAGAGAGAGAGAGAGAGAGAGAGAGAGAGAGAGAGAGAGAGAGAGAGAGAGAGAGAGAGAGAGAGAGAGAGAGAGAGAGAAGATGAGAGATCTTCTGGTTTGGCAAAATTCATCACAGACACAGAACCTTTTTAGACACCAAGAATCAACAGATCTTAAAACTTGAAAGAATGGTAAACGGTTACTTGCACAGGTAAAGCTCTTTGTGGTTGATTTGAAGAAGGGTGCGTGTCTCTGTCCTCGCGTCATACGTTCACGTGGTCTTTCAGAGCGGGCAAAGCGCGTTAGTTTGAATGAAGGCTTAAAGGTCTTTGGTTCTCCTGGTGTTGCTGAGGAAAACTGTGTCTTGCGTGTGTGTGTATCTCTGTCATGTGGCTGCCGAGCGTTCGGGTTCGTCCTGCGAGCGCGGCGTGTTTGAATGTCCTTGTAGGTGAAGCTTGCCAGTCTGGCTGTGTTCATTTTCTTCGCGAGAAGACATGAACAGAGGAGCCTTCGAAAAAGATAAAATAAACTTGAAGAAAACAAAAAGAGAAACGATGGATCATCACACTAAGGCGATGTCCAGACGCACGAGGGGTCACATGATGAAGAGCCAGGGAGTTTTGGCAGAGAGTTTTCAGGAAGCTTTCAGAAGCGTTTCAGAAGGGTTTCAGCAGCCGCTTACGCCGCCTTCACACTGGCAGTTGAAATCAGCTCCGTAGTACGCAATACGCCCCCAACGGACGTCGTACTACACAGTGAAAAGCGTCGGAAGCGGGTAGAACAAAAATGGCGGAGAGATTAGATAGTTTGATTCTGTCAGTTCTGTATGATCTCTCTGATGAGGGTTATAGAGATATTAATAGGAAGGCTGCTGCGTGAGGAAAGTTGCTCAGGACGTTGACATGTCAGGTCGGCTAAAAATGTGATATAGTGGTATAATTTATACCACTATATCATATTTAGTTCGATGTCTGCCAACAATTTAATTGTATTAACTGCCCTAATAACGTTAGCAAATCATGAAAATAAAAAATTACATGACAACTTAACTTTTAATAAAATAAATAATGATTTTACAACGATAAGAATTCAGTTCCCTTTCGAGGGAACTTAACACTGCGTCGAGAATCGACTCTTTGGGGACGCTCCCTTAGCGTGCGCCTCTGAAGTATGAATGAAACTATTCCAATCCTGATTGGTGTTGCGTCATGACGTAACATGTGACGGCATAACCGGATGCATAAAAGCTACGCCGGAACAAACACAAACTAGCTTTCGCTCTTCAGCAAGCGCTCTGTGTTGAAACTGTGTGTCTTATTTGGTGTTGTTTGTCACATATATTGTATATAATGGCCAGCGAACAATTCAAAGCTTGTGTGCCTCCCTGCCCTCGTTTTATCACGGGTGGGGACACACATGCTTTGTGTGTGAGTTGTTTGGGAGCGCAGCATGCACGGGCAGCTCTCGAGGGAGCTGCTTGTGTAGACTGTGAAGCACTTCCCATTAGAGTGCTGCGCTCCCGGCTGGCGTGCTTTGATGAGCACGGTCAGGCTCGCGTTCCCCATGGTTCTGGTCCCGCGTCCGTTGAGGCGGCGCGGCGATTGAGATCGTGGGGTTCGCAGCGGGATCTTGTGGATGAGATTGAGACTGCTGAGGCACCTTCTCACTCTTCATCCGAGGATCTCGTAGCCTCTGAGAGTGGTGCAGGAGCCCGCATCGCGGCTTCTCCTGCCCATGATCAGGTCCCGATGCTTGAGCTCTCTGCTTCCGAGGAAGTAGATGTGCTCAGCATCGATGCGGATGACCGTGATCTAGGCGCGCCAGTTCACGGCCAAGGTTATGAGGAGCTGGTGGAGGTTGTGACTCGTGCTGTGGCCAGACTTAACATCAGCTGGCCACATGATGAGCAGGGAACGCAAGTGAGAAGCAAGCTTGATGAGCGTTTCCTGCAGCACAGATCGCAACCTCAGCGCCGGGGTTTGCCGTTTTTCCCCGATCTCCACAAAGAGATTTCGAGATCGTGGGATAAACCGCACTCATCCCGTGTCTCCAATCCCAGTATGGTGGATTACAGCAATGTTATGGGGGCACGGGATATGGGTTATGGGAAGATGCCTAAGGTGGAAGAGGCTTTAGCGGGTTATCTTTCTCCTGAGTCGGCATCTTCCCTAAAAACCCCGGCGTTGCCTAGTAAGCCCTGCAGAGATACATCTGCATTAATAGGCAGGGCTTACATGGCGGCAGGTCGGGCTGGTTCATGTCTGCACTCTATGGCACTCTTGCAGGCATACCAGGCCGACCTCCTGAAAGATTTGGATGAGGGGGAGGGGCCAACTCCTGAAGATATTGCGGAGTTAAGGAGAGCCACAGATCTGTCTCTTCGGGCCACAAAAGAGACGGCCCGCGCTATTGGCCGCTCTATGGCAGCTATGGTGGCCACGGAGAGACATCTGTGGCTGAATTTATCTGGCATGAAAGAGAAAGATAGATCCTTTCTGCTGGATGCGCCGCTTTCGCCTTCTGGCCTGTTCGGCGACGCCGTTACATCGGTCGTCGACAGGTTTCAGGAGGCGAAGAAACA